ACATTGGGACTTTATTATAGTTTGGTTTGAGGATATTGAGACTTTCTTTTTGTCTAATTTTGAGGACATTGGGACTTTATTATCGTCTTGTTTGAGGACATTGGGACTTTATTATAGTCTGGTTTGAGGATATTGAGACTTTCTTATTGTCTCGTTTGAGGACATTGGGACTTTATTATAGTCTGGTTTGAGGACATTGGGACTTTATTAGTCTGGTTTGAGGACATTGGGACTTTATTAGTCTGGTTTGAGGACATTGGGACTTTATTATTGTCTAGTTTGAGAATATTGAGACTTTCTTATCGTCTGGTTTGAGGATATTGAGACTTTCTTTTTGTCTAATTTTGAGGACATTGGGACTTTATTATCGTCTTGTTTGAGGACATTGGGACTTTCTTATTGTCTCATTTGAGGACATTGGGACTTTATTATCATCTGGTTTGAGGACATTAGGACTTTATTATAGTCTGGTTTGAGGATATTGGGACTTTATTATAGTCTGGTTTGAGGACATTGGGACTTTATTATAGTCTGGTTTGAGGATATTGGGACTTTATTATAGTCTGGTTTGAGGACATTGGGACTTTATTATAGTCTGGTTTGAGGATATTGGGACTTTATTATAGTCTGGTTTGAGGACATTGGGACTTTATTATAGTCTGGTTTGAGGATATTGGGACTTTATTATAGTCTGGTTTGAGGACATTGGGACTTTATTATAGTCTGGTTTGAGGATATTGGGACTTTATTATAGTCTGGTTTGAGGACATTGGGACTTTATTATAGTCTGGTTTGAGGATATTGGGACTTTATTATAGTCTGGTTTGAGGACATTGGGACTTTATTATAGTCTGGTTTGAGGATATTGGGACTTTATTATAGTCTGGTTTGAGGACATTGGGACTTTATTATAGTCTGGTTTGAGGATATTGGGACTTTATTATAGTCTGGTTTGAGGACATTGGGACTTTATTATAGTCTGGTTTGAGGATATTGGGACTTTATTATAGTCTGGTTTGAGGACATTGGGACTTTATTATAGTCTGGTTTGAGGATATTGGGACTTTATTATAGTCTGGTTTGAGGACATTGGGACTTTATTATTGTCTAGTTTGAGGATATTGAGACTTTCTTATTGTCTCGTTTGAGGACACTGGGACTTTATTATAGTCTGGTCTGAGGACACTGGGACTTTATTATTGTCTAGTTTGAGGATATTGAGACTTTCTTATTGTCTCGTTTGGGGATATTGAGACTTTCTTATTGTCTCGTTTGAGGACACTGTGACTTTATTATAGTCTGGTTTGAGGACATTGGGACTTTATTATAGTCTGGTTTGAGGACACTGCTACTTTATTAGTCTGGTTTGAGGACATTGGGACTTTATTATTGTCTAGTTTGAGGACATTGGGACTTTCTTATTGTCTTGTTTGAGGACATTGGGACTTTATTATCGTCTTGTTTGAGGACATTGGGACTTTTTTATCGTCTTATTTTGTGGATATTGAGACTTTCTTATTGTCTCGTTTGAGGACATTGGGACTTTATCATCATCTTGTTTGAGGATATTGGGACTTAGTTATCATTGACAATGTTGAGTTTTTTATACTTATCAGATCCTACTGATCCCAAATAGCTGGGAGAAATTAAAAATGCACACCAAACAAAAGTTCAGGTCTCAGGAGGATATATCTGAGGCACAACTGCTGCAGCATAAAGCAATATAATAATCTATTTTGTTGAATAGAGAATACCTGATAACCATCTAATGAATGTTCTGTTTAAATGCCCCTCTGCCTTTGTCTCCATATTTCATAGTATATTTGACAAAAGTGTAACTGGATTCAGTTCCAAAATAGGGGACGGGTGCCCTCTAGTGGCATGTTTGGGGTACTGCACTTTACAGAGGCCCTCGGCCAAGTGACATGGTATGTTAGTTATGCTCACTACACAGTATGAGTGGTGAAGCTGCGCTCTACAACTCTACGTCATGTTTCCATCCTATCTTGAATATCTCTCCTCAGATCATGACTTCCTCCTCTACATTATTCAGTCTCCATAAATAAGGGGTAGTTTAATTGCCTTATTTCACCAGCTGATTGCATCCTATAATAAATGGATGGTTTATCTGTGTCTAATTGTGTGTACTTCTCCCCAGAAGGCTGTCCATCTGTGGCTCCACCAGCCGAGATGCCAAAACCACACACATCATTAACCATGGCTCATGTGTGTATGTGCGCTTCCATCTACAGCATGTGTACATTCGGTTGATTACATACACACTTATCTGACATGCCGTAAACAAACAGTAGTTTTATTCAAGATTAAACATTTAGACGACCACAGAATAGATGAACAGGCATTGGTCTAACACAAGGTTGCTTTTTCTGCTGCTGTCCCAGAGACCCACGATTAAGCAAAGCTTTTAGCTCAACAAATTTACATGTATTTACGGATGTATGTGTGCATATTGATATGCACACATGTGCATATACTGTACATAAATACATAGACTGTCAGTTAGTCTCCTGCATAAAGTTTGTATCCCCATAAAATGTTTAACTTTGGGTGTCGTTGGGTGGCTTTTGATGCATTTTTTTTTTCGTATGTGTGGGATAAAAAAATGTGTCAGTCACAATAAAATCATCAATTTTAAAAAGTTACTACAGGATACAAAGTTTTTTCAAGACACCACCAGTAGTCTACATATTACCTATTGTCTGAGCTGCATTTATTTATAGTTAATCACGTGAAAAATGAGAATAATATTCTACCATACCCCTCCAGAGTAGAAGGCAGTGTTTCCATTGGGTCGTCATGACCAGGAGCAGAGCAAGAAAAACCCTGGTCTAGAAAATGGCGGCAGACAGACAAGTCCAACCAACTGAACCTGACAAAGGCACCAACAATACACAGATGTAGTCATCTTTTTTTTAAAAATACACACATCAAATACAATATACTGCCTTGCAAAGAGGCTATAGGAAAGAAAAAACATGAGAGTCAATATCAGAAAGGAAGTTGCAAGTTGTACAATTACAGTGGAACTGTACATATGGAAAGCATAGACTATATTTCATCTGTCCACGCCTGTTGACCTCCCCTTGGAATGTTAGAAGGGATCATTTCTCTGGTGGTAAAATGTAGGCAGGACATGAGAGAATGCATCTGGCACTGAAGGTTGCGAAAGACTCTCTTATTCAACGAGCATATGCAGGAGGCAGTAAATTCCCACAACCCCCCTCACCAGCAATTTGAGTAAGACAGAGTGAGATAGAGAGAGTTGAAAGTAGTTGGTGAATGGCGAGGGTTAAACGAGACTCGGGATTAGCACCAACTTCAGAGGTTTTTGAACTGCGTGTCTCCGAGCATAGAAGGTGGGGCTGTGTGTGTTTGTTGGTGAGGATGAAACATGGTGGTAATGGTGATGGTGTGGTTGAATGTCAGACACGGAGGGGAAGCAGAAGCATTGGTGGTGGAGCATCACCCACCCAGATCGTCATGGCCTCTGTCTGCCAAACAAATGAGTAAACTAGGGCCAAAATGTATTTCAATAGGCTTTCAGGGCTCTGAGTTGCGATAGTGTACATGCACGATTTATCTTGCTAACAACCTGCACTTTTTCCTTTTACCTGTAGTGCTATTTATCAGCGTACATTTTTTGGATGTGAGTTGCTGAGTGTTGGAGATATTAGCTGTAGAGATGTCTGCCTTCTCTCAAATATAATGGAACTAGATGGCACTTTGTCAGTGGTGCTGAAAGCGGCCAAAAAAAAAAAAAAAAACTCACAATGTCTCCATCCACAAATCATGACCCGGTTACTCAAGATAATCTACAGACCTTGTTGTGAGCAGTTTTGCATAGGAACTATCTTTCTCCTTTCTACCGAAGTACACCTATCAACTGCATCCCCACAAAGAAGGAAATGTGCATCCACTGCTAGCTCACCTAACACAACTGAGTGAGCTAGCATTACCATTCAGCCAAGCAGGACACATTAATGTTAACATCCTGCGCTGTCACAAGCAAGAGCCTCTCGCCGTTTAGTAGATGCACACTGTTACAGGTGCAAGGTAAACTAGCAGTAGATGCACATTTCCTTCTGCAGGGTGATTTGGTTGATATGATGTGTAGTTTGGTAGAGAGAAAATAGTTCTACTAGTTCGCTTCTTCGAACTACACCCATTAGCCGTATCACCACACAGAAGGAAGTGTGCATCTACTGCTAGCTTACCTTGCGCCAGCGAGCTAGCTAATGTTACAGTCTGCTCAAGGGCGAGAGGCTCGTGCTCGTCACCTAGCACACCTGAGCTGTTACATCTCAGCTGCAGAGGTAATGTTTACATCTCAAGCTGTCACTAGCCTCTCGTCCATGAGTAGATGCACACTTCCTTCTGCGCAATGACACAATTGGTGGGTGTAGTTGAGTAGAAAGAAAATAGTTCCTATATGAAACTGCTCACAACAATACCTGAATTGTCTTGAGTAACTGGGTCATGATTTCTGGAAAGAGACATTGCCACTGAGTTTTTCAAAAGTATTTTTTGGCACTTTGAGCACTACAAGCCGAGTGCCATCTAGTTTGGTTATACTTGAGAGAAGGCAGACATCACTACGGCCGATACCTCTAACACTCAGCAACTCAAAAATCTGAAAAAAATCTAGACTGATAAATAGCACTACAGGTAAGATGAACAATATGTATTTTTGGTTTTGGGGTGAACTATCCCTTTAAAATGGTTAGACTGGTAGACTCTTACAGAATATAACCTATTTCTAATAAAATACTTACTTAAAGCTTGGGCACCTGGACACAGTCACATTATTTATGTTGTGCTCAGGTTCCCAAAGAGTATCATTAGTCTATTGAAATGCCCCAAATCTTTTTCTACTTCTGCAAATCTATTCAAGTACTATTGGGCCCGGGTCTACAGATAAAAGAATCAGGGGTTAAACTGGGAGCGAGCAGGACAGAAACCAGCAGCCGACCAACACACAGTGAAATTACAGCATCATCAGACTTTTATTTGGTTCATAAAGAGACAAAAAAGCTTCTTCTTTTTCTTTCTTTTTTTTTTTGTTTGAGCTGAGCCCGCCTCTTTTTATTATGGTAGAACTAATCCCAATTTAACCCCTGGATTTTTACATTCATGTGAACGTGATAGCGTATAATTAAGACCTAACAAGTGACAAGACAGTCAAAACAGTTGCAAGGCTTCATGCAGTGCTACCTCATAAGATTTACATTGATTCCTACTGTTGAGAGAACAAAATCGTTGAAGCGCCTCTAATCGTCGCGCGATGGTTTCATCGTGACTCTGTTGATTGTAAAGCAAGTGTATCTGTCCTTATTTAAAAAATACAAAAAGCTGTGATCTTCATGTACGTGCGTCACATATAGTATCTATGAGAAGCTAGTGCGGTTTGCGATATGGTCACTGCTCTAATTGGCCTCTTGTCTCCGTGCTGTAGGTTTCTTTTGAATGCACATCTCTAACGCTGCCACTTATAACAACTGTTACTGATAGGTGACTAAAGATATGAGCACATATGAGTCTAAGAAAGCACAGACACTTGTTAATGATTGTAACGCGAATCTGGTAGTGCTTACAAGCTTACATGCAGTTAATGGTTGGAGATGATATAGAGAACCCAAAACAATAAATACATTGTATAAAACATAATTTCATATCAATATATTAAAATACTATTTAAAATAATATCTTAGACAATATTGCAATATGAAATTGACTGATAAATAATTGGTAGGCCTACACAGAGAAATATATATATTTAAGTATCTGTGTCCTTCATAGTTTGCTGTTAAATGATTTTAAAGTTTCCAGATTTCCCCCCAGTGGGTAGCAGTACAATCCAGAGAGCTAATACATTTTTCTTTTTTTCCAACAATAATAACAATGAACTTACAGTACACAGTCCCATAATAAAGATATACATACTGAATACAATATAAATGTCAAGACAGAAAAATAGAAAAATATCAATAGAAATCAAAAGTCAAATACATATCAGAGAAAGTATACAGAGAAAAGTGTACTTATGAGTCTTTGTGGTTCTTGTTGTTGTAGCTGGAGCTTGTATTTGGCTCTCATTGTTGGTATATTGGCTGTGTGACTGTACTTCGTTTTTTTGTTTTCTTTTTTCTCCAGTCCCGACACAAACACACACACACACACACGCGCGCGCTCTCCCACACAGACACAAAGTTACACACATCTGCAATTACAGACACATGCAAAGGGCACACATGCCTGCACAGGTGCAGGTGTGCACTCCCCCCCACACACACACACCCACACACACATATGCACACACACATAGCTCACATGACCGTGCAGCACTTGCAGGTCTGTTTCTTCTCCTCCTCCTCCTTCTCCCCTTCCTCCCCGCCTCCGTTGGCCTTTTCTTTCTCCGCCATGCTCCCGTTGGGTGGAGCCTGCTCTTCTGTGGCGGCCTCCCCTCCCGCTTTCCCCTCCCCATCCTCGATGACAACAAACTCGGCCTTCACGTTGCCATCCACCCCTTCCATTCCCAAAGCCGTGCGGCTCTCCTGCTCCTCCTCCACGGTCTTGTAGCCCATGAACACCAGGGTGACGGGGTTGTCCGCGCTGGCTTGGTCAGGACTGGGACCCAGCAGCTTGGCCTCAATCCCTGTCACCTCTCTCTTGGGGGTCTGACCGGAGCTCTGCACTACTCCGTTCTCGCCTATAGGGTGCACCAGAGGATCAGTGAAGGGTTAGGGGAGAGCAGAGAGGAAAGAGGGTGGTCAGGGTAAGTCACAGAGACAAAGAAAGAAAGGAAATATTGTTTTAATTACCTCCGGCGGAGAGGAACTATTTATCAGGGCAAATGAGGGGGCCATTATTAGGCTGGCATTCTCTCGCTGACACAAGTGTCCAGACTGCGTTGCCATGGTTTCCTGTGTGATCTCTGTGTGATCACATGTTGCCATGGGCACTGAACTTACCTCCATTTTCTTTGGCCACACCCTTTTTGGCTGGAGCGTCTGTCTCCAGTTCTTCTATCTCTTGCTCCAGCCTGAATTAGAAACACATGTGCAAATTAATTATTGAACAGAACCTGTAATTCATTTACACCCCAGAGACTGCAATACTGTCACATATGATATGCTTGTGCCTGTGCTTGGACATTATACACAGACTGGAGTCAGATTTTCACAATTCAGAAGTTCAAACAGCATCTCAAAGTCTGACTGAAATCGAATTTCTTCAGATTGGCTGTAATACAATGCGTAACGCTACCATGACATCAAAAGCATCATTGGCCCTGTAATCTTACTGTGGCTGCATTTCAAAACAGATCAACCATGTCTGTCTTTAATGCTGTTGCTAAGCTCTGCTCAATGATTAAAACAGACTGAATCACATCTGTGTCAATCTATTGATTTGAATTGCGGATATGTAAAATCAGCAAACTTGTTATTTTTATTGTCATTTTCAGCTGTAAATGTGCCATTTAAAGACACATTTAAACACCAGATCGATCTGACGTTTCTGCTGTGCTTATATTATGTACTATGTTGCTTTACTAGTGTCTCAAAAACAGTTTTACCGTTATCAAATAACAACATATCACTGCCAGTCGAACTAACATTAACTTAAAACTCAAGATGGTGTTTTCGTTAGTGTGTGGCCCAACAGGTGAATTATTAGAATCAGAAGTATGTAAATATAAAGCAATAAAATAAAATAAAATAAAATAGAAAATTAAAACAAAAAAATAGAATGTGTATTATGCTTCATTGTTTAACACTGGTGCTTAAGATATTAAAATATCAAAAATAAAATATATATATTGTCTCTGTGCTGAGGCTGTAAGTGTGAAATTTAACTACAATAAATACATCAATAGAATAAACAAGAACAGAATATTTGGCTAGGTTAGGTTTAGGAGTTAGGCTGCAACCTAATGTTAGTTAATGTGTTGTTATTAATGAGATATGAAAGCATCAAACACGCATTTCAGATGAAAGAGATGAAAAAATAGTGAAAAAGAAAACACCATATGCCATATGTTGAGTTCAGAGCCGTCACTGAGCATGCTTGCTCTTTGCACATGTAAATCTGAAAAACCCAGACCCTTGTCCAATCTTTATTGCTATCCTGGAACCCCATTAACAACAAGACATTCCATAGGTATACCTATGAAAAGTGATGCACCACAATTTGTAGAAGAAAGAAGTATAAAGAACGAAAGTCTGCATAACAAAGTAGGTTGGGGTGGTGGATGGGTCAAACAAACACAGGACTCTCCCCCAGGAGACCTGTGGTTGGGACTGTGTGAGCTTTGAATTATTTTAAGGTACGTGCTCAACATATTTCTTTTCTTAAACCTAACCTACATAACTTTACATGAAGTATGTAACTTTGTGTACGTAACATGATGACACCACTCATTGGGCTCTAAAGCCACGTTTCCACTTAACACTTTCGGTATGGTACCTTTGGAACCAAAAGTAACCCTTCAGACATGGTACCTAGACCCTAGCGTTTCCACTGAAAACAGTACCCTTAAATGTGGGCGGGGCTGTTCAGCAACCGCTGCTATCGACCAATCAACAGACTGCAGTGATCACAGCTCCACCTTTTAGTGCCAGATCTGTGTACTACGTACCCCAACAGAACAGTACGGAACCTTTCCATTAGTACCATCCACAACTTTTCACGGTGGAAACGGAAAAAAAGTGTACCAAACTGAACTGTACCATACTGCTCGGTGGAAACGGGGCATAGTTGGTTGGATATTATACAAACTGATGTATGTACAGTACAGGCCAAAAGTTTGGACACACCTTCTCATTCAATGCGTTTTCTTTATTTTCATGACTATTTACATTGTAGATTCTCACTGAAGGCATCAAAACTATGAATGAACACATGTGGAGTTATGTACTTAACAAAAAAAGGTGAAATAACTGAAAACATGTTTTATATTCTAGTTTCTTCAAAATAGCCACCCTTTGCTCTGATTACTGCTTTGCACACTCTTGGCATTCTCTCCATGAGCTTCAAGAGGTAGTCACCTGAAATGGTTTCCACTTCACAGGTGTGCCTTATCAGGGTTAATTAGTGGAATTTCTTGTTTTATCAATGGGGTTGGGACCATCAGTTGTGTTGTGCAGAAGTCAGGTTAATACACAGCCGACAGCCCTATTGGACAACTGTTAAAATTCATATTATGGCAAGAACCAATCAGCTAACTAAAGAAAAACGAGTGGCCATCATTACTTTAAGAAATGAAGGTCAGTCAGTCCGGAAAATTGCAAAAACTTTAAATGTGTCCCCAAGTGGAGTCGCAAAAACCATCAAGCGCTACAACGAAACTGGCACACATGAGGACCGACCCAGGAAAGGAAGACCAAGAGTCACCTCTGCTTCTGAGGATAAGTTCATCCGAGTCACCAGCCTCAGAAATCGCAAGTTAACAGCAGCTCAGATCAGAGACCAGATGAATGCCACACAGAGTTCTAGCAGCAGACCCATCTCTAGAACAACTGTTAAGAGGAGACTGCGCCAATCAGGCCTTCATGGTCAAATAGCTGCTAGGAAACCACTGCTAAAGAGAGGCAACAAGCAGAAGAGATTTGTTTGGGCCAAGAAACACAAGGAATGGACATTAGACCAGTGGAAATCTGTGCTTTGGTCTGATGAGTCCAAATTTGAGATCTTTGGTTCCAACCGCCGTGTCTTTGTGAGACGCAGAAAAGGTGAACGGATGGATTCCACATGCCTGGTTCCCACTGTGAAGCATGGAGGAGGAGGTGTGATGGTGTGGGGGTGTTTTGCTGGTGACACTGTTGGGGATTTATTCAAAATTGAAGGCACACTGAACCAGCATGGCTACCACAGCATCCTGCAGCGACATGCCATCCCATCCGGTTTGCGTTTAGTTGGACGATCATTTATTTTTCAACAGGACAATGACCCCAAACACACCTCCAGGCTGTGTAAGGGCTATTTGACCAAGAAGGAGAGTGATGGAGTGCTGCGGCAGATGACCTGGCCTCCACAGTCACCGGACCTGAACCCAATCGAGATGGTTTGGGGTGAGCTGGACCGCAGAGTGAAGGCAAAGGGGCCAACAAGTGCTAAACACCTCTGGGAACTCCTTCAAGACTGTTGGAAAACCATTTCAGGTGACTACCTCTTGAAGCTCATGGAGAGAATGCCAAGAGTGTGCAAAGCAGTAATCAGAGCAAAGGGTGGCTATTTTGAAGAAACTAGAATATAAAACATGTTTTCAGTTATTTCACCTTTTTTTGTTAAGTACATAACTCCACATGTATTCATTCATAGTTTTGATGCCTTCAGTGAGAATCTACAATGTAAATAGTCATGAAAATAAAGAAAACGCATTGAATGAGAAGGTGTGTCCAAACTTTTGGCCTGTACTGTACATTTTCCTAAGATATCATATGAACCTTTGTATGTGGATACATTGACTTCACATATTTGACCCGTTCACTTGCTAATAAAATAATTTGTACCATCTGTTTTTCAAAGATCAAACATGCAGGTGTTTTTAGATGCTGACCTGAGGATAACCTGCTCCAGGAGCTTGGTCTTCACCTCGTCCTCATGCAGACGCTTCTGAGTCTCCTCCTCTGCTGGAGCTCCATCTAACAACCAGCGCTCCCTCAGTGCCTTCGACTGAAAGAGGACATAACATGTTAGGAATGAGCACAGACAAAAGGCGTTAAGTGAGGTAGAGACTGACTCAATTTATCTATAAATTCTGGTAAAAAAGGAACACATTTCACTATAGTTTCCCCCGTGTGGTGAATAAGTGTGTATGTCAGCTATAATGAAAAGAACATAGGCAGACAGAACCCCTTTGATCATGCGTCTTTCATCAGGATCAGTTAATTAATTCATTAGCAGAACTTCAATCACCCCAAATTCAGCACGCTCTAACCCTTTCTAAAATATTAGCCGTATTTTGACTGAGAACGGCGAGCCCTTGAGCTAATCTACAACGAAAATCTCCCAGCGAGTGCGCCCAGCACTTCTCTGCTGACTGCTGCCACTCAGTGATTCTGTCACATACTTTAACTGTTGCCAACTTGTTGTTGCCAAGTGGACTATGGCACCCAGCCAGGGCCTCAAAGCCTCTGGCACTGAACAGAAAGAGTCCAAACTATGATATAATTCTCCTATTATTCTAAATCGAGCATGGGATTAAAAGTCTAGATAAGTCGCTGAAAGATAAAAACAAAATAGTTGTAATCTTAAACGGCATCAAACATTTCCTAGAGGCTGACAATAATTACAAGAACGTCTTTATGGGCACACTGACAGCACTGACTGAGACTAAATGGACTGATTGTAAACTGTCTTATTATTTTTACTGTAGATAAAGATGATTCTAGGACAAGATAATTAAGTACTTCCATATCCTCTTGGGACCCAGAAGGAATAATGTTAAAACAAAATTTAGGTAATTGGGATGTCAGAAACATATCAAAGATTTTTTTTTCTCAGAAATGTAATGTAGTCAAACTTTTCAAAAGAAAAAAGAACATTACATTACATTTACAGTAATGTCACATGGTTAAATTCATGTCTAAGAAGTGTATTATTAAAGGTACTGTGCATGCTTTTAACTGGTTATACATAGTGTGTGTGCATGTGTGTGTTTACAAGTCAAAAAAGGAGAAATTTCTGTGAAGTGCTGTAAAGTTGAGTTGATTGAAAACACACATTAAACACACATTAAACATGGCTTAATAGCGCCAATTTCAAACAAGTACACAAATCCGTTTCACTATAACTCACAGCATTCACAGACAAAGCATTTGTCTTTATCTGGACACATTTTCCCCACAAATACCACATGCTAACGTTATTAGCACAAGCCTATGGCATTTTACATTGTATAAATTAACCTAGCAGCTAGCGGATTTTTCCTCTTCTCATATGAAACTAGGGACAACAGCAACATTTAACAAAGGTAACGTTACAAAATTTGGCTCCATTACAACTCACAAGGTTCATCGACAAAACAACTGTCTTATACTAAACACGTTTTCCAATCAAATATATCATGCTAACGTTATTAGCACAAGCCTATGGCATTTTACATTGTATAAATTAGCCTAGCAACGAGCAGAGATTTCCTCTGCTCGTATGAAGCCAGGATAAAACACACACGACAAAAAATTCTATATTTTTTAAATTAAAGTAAATAAAAACTTTGTTTCCACTGAGGGAAATGGTTTCAGCTTACAAAAACAGACTGGTCTGCCTCACCGCAACATGTGGTTACATTTCTGGGGAGGTGCACGTCAGGCTATGGCGTAGGTATAGGTAGGTACAGCATTGATTCAACACAGAAGTATAAATTGCGCCTCACATTCACACCTACGGCCAATTTAGAGTCACCAATTAACCTAACATGCATGTCTTTGGACTGTGGGAGGAAGCCAGGTTGAGAAAACCCACGCTGACTTATTTGCTGTGAGGCGACAGTGCTAACCACTGTACCACCGTGCCACCCCTTTATAAACATAACTTAATTTTCTTAGTGCCATAAGCAGCAATTCCCCCTTTTGAAAAGACAAAAGATAAGTTCTGCTAGTGACACCCTCACGTGTGTTACATCACTTGAAAGCCCAGGATGTCCTTTTTAACAGGAAACCAGGACTCAAATTGACTGCATGTGTGATGCTGGAAATGAAGGCCTCAGTGTCATGTGACATGTGGGAGTGACATGCATATATTTTGCTCTGAGGTGGATTTTCCATTCTATTATTCTCCTACTTTCCACTTCTTTATTTCTTTTTTCACTCTATGTTTATTTCTTTTATCAGTTTCCAAACAGCCCTGTGTCCTTATCTGGACTCCCCATCTACATTCCCTCCTGCAGATAAGCTAATATCAGAGCAAATACTTGGCGTGCTCTGAGGTAAATATAACAGTGTGTCTCACTCGCAGCTGTTAGACGGTGCAGTGAAATTCAACGCTGCTTGGCCATATGGAAAAGTGCTAGAAAAAGTGCTTGTTTTCACGAGTTGGACTGAAAATCTGGACCTGCGCTTGATGTGAATTCCTCTCCAGTGATGCAACAGGAATTTCTACAGCAAAACTCCCCCCATTTTTTTTTCTTTCGGACTCGACCCCCGCCCCTTCCTCTCTCTTTCATGCATCTGTATCCATCATGGAGTTCATGAACTCGGTTTGTGTATGATATATTGAATACGGTTGTAAACGTCAGAGTGTGTTTCCTTTAATTCCAATCTGTGTTTATCTCTTTAAGTCGCTCTCCTCCAGCTCTTACTTTCCCCATCGAGTCATTCAGCTCCAGACACCCAGCTCAAAGGAGCTTTACAGCACACACTCACTCTCACGGTGTAATTCAACACTCCTCATACCCCGGCCCTGCATGGTCTCCTGGGTACTGAATCCAATCCTGCTTCCCTCTTTCTTTCTCTCTCTCTCTACTCCTCTCGCCACACCCTACTACCCAAATGCCTGACATCACTTAATGTACTCACTCATGCACAGGCAAACGCACACACACACTCACACACAGCAGTCTGCACGAATAGTCGTAAAGCTGGGGCGCTAAAGTTACGTCCCTCTCCATTGTTCTTTGGAGTAAAAGCTGCTAACGTAGCAGACAAAGGGCGGAACTGTGATACACATACACACACACATACACACACACCCCTAAATGTACTGAGCAGCTGTAGTGAACTGAGCTTTTTTTTTAATTCATTGTGGATCTTTCCTGCGACAAAGTGAAATCCTAAAACTTCTTATTCTTTGAAAACACAGTCTTGTATTCAGTGCCTCCACCATAAAGTTTATCCAGACTGTTATTCTTATTATTCTATCAACTATTGTCTGAGTTTAAAACTTAGCTTTAAGTTTAAAAATAGTCCAACAAATTTGGGAAAAGGCTTTCTTGCCATGAGCTAGATGAGCAGACTGATGCCACTCTTGCGTCTATATAGCAGAAGACGACGATGACGAAGAATCATGCATTACATGGAGAGATGTCAGAGCGAGGGTGCCGCCCATGGAGGAGGTTTGATACCTCGCTCAGGGGCACCTTGGCAGTGCGTATTGCTCCAGATGGGGACTTGACCTGCCAGTTCCTAACCCAGGTCCCTATGGACTGAACAACTGCTGTCCTAACAGGGGTGTCCAAACTTCTTTGAATGGGGGCCAGATTTGATAATGTTAACAATACCTGCGAGCCAGCTGCTTCTCACATCATGTGGGTTATTTAAAAAACAAAAAAAAATCATTTCCAAATGAGACAAACACATTTGTTTTATTTTCCAGAGAAACTGCTGTGGCCATATCTACTATCTAGCAGACACCCTGAGTCAGACTCTGACTCACAGAAACACTCTGAATGTCATATAGTGCTGCTTTTGTATCTGCACTGGTATCTCATCATATATTTATCTTCAGTTGCATTCATATTATTCAGAGCAAAGTATTTACTACTTCTGCACTGCTCTTACACTTCTATTTTTGTGCTATGTTTGTGCTTTTAATAACTTTGTAGACGAATGTCAATGGTATGGTATGGAATGTCAAAGTACTACTGGTCATTTCAATCCATAACATTACTTTTTGCTTCCCTATGAAATGGATCACTGTGACGTCACCCTAAACCTTCTGATTAGACAACTGGCAACTGTTTTGAATTGGGGAGATATGTGAAATTGGCAAACTGCTGCATTGTCATTCTTTAGCCGGAACTGTTGTGTTTAAAGATATGTAAGTAACCATGGTGGTCTGACCTGTTTGATGTTTCTGCAGGGCTTATTTTATGTACTGCGTTGCATTGCTGGTGTCTTTGATAAACCAAATCTACCAGCACAGAAGCAGCAATATACTGCTGTGGATGGGGGTGCATCAAAATGTATTTTAGCCACCAAAAAGACCCACCTAAAAAACCATTGATGCTGAGGCAATGCACTTTATTAACTCTTTTTTTTCTTTTGCACAACATTTGCTGGCCCTGTCCATGACTGCTTGGATTGGTGTTTGTTGGGTTAAAGGAAATGGCCACTTTAGAATGAAAATACAGACAGTACTTACTCACCTTCATGTCGACAAGAAGTCCAGTGTAGTTTTTTAATCCATAAAACTCGTCCAGGGTATCGAGATAACAGCTGGAATAACAGCTACAGTGTGTAGCATGGAACCCACATTTTGAAAATGTAATAAAATTTGCAAAATTGACTTGAAAAGACGTAATTTACTCCACTTTTATAGCATCATTTCTCATTGTCAGTTTGCCTGCAGGCGTGCTTTGTTTACATGGCAACTCACGAGACTAGCTGATTGCTAGTGGTGGTGCTAGTTCTTGAGTCTCGCTTGTCTTTTCAAGTCAGTTTTGCATGCCGCGGCTTCAGGGCACTTGGATTACGATGGACGAGCCGTTCTGATGTTTTTGAAATGCGTTAGCGGAGTTTTATTACATTTTCAAAATGTGGGTTCCGTGCACTTCAAGTGTAGCTGTTATTCTGGCTAGCTGTTATCCTCCGATACCCCGAACGAGTTTTGTGGATTAAAAAACTACACTGGACTTCTTGTCGGCATGAGGGTGAGTAAGTGCTGTCTGTATTTTCATTCTAAAGTGGCCATTTCCTTTAAATGCTTCACAGAAAATGTAAGTACTACCGAGACATTTTGTATTCTATAGACACACACACAGAGGTACATGCAAGTGTCTTTCTGTAAGCAAGATTTACACGACACTGCAGGTTTACGTGGGATGCATGTGGGTTTTACGAGGGTTTAACATTGATCACATTACGAGATGCTGGGTTTTTGATGGGTGTCACATGTAAGACCATGTGTTTCACACGGGAATTGGGAAACTACATATTTTCATATGCAAAGCACATTTTTCAAATGTGAAATTTAACATGTTTTTGTTTTGCATGGGGTCAGTACTTTACCTTATCTTTCCCAATGAAAATGGCTGTATGACAGCAAGGTAAAGTGGTGAAAATATTTTCAATATAGCAAACACTTCAACTGATACTGATTTTTTAGGTGGTGCTTTTTTTTAGGTGCTCACCATTTCATTTTATGTATGATACAGGGATTTTATTCCCGGAAATTATTGTAAACAATGTGATTAAGTCTATAAACTATGTGTTTGACATTCAGAGTTTTTAATTAAAGAGACTGCCAGCTGCAGCATGTATAATCATATCTGCCATGGCTGGCTAATTAAAAACAGAACTCTTATGAATGCTTTCTGTGTTAACAACACTGTATTACCTCATCCCACCATTCTGTCTGCGCTGTGAGGGTGTGACTGTGTGTGTGTAGGATCCTGTATTAGTGTGTTTAAATGGTGGGGCAGGTACACGCTTATAAAAATGTGGTAAGTAAACGGAGACATTTATTGGCTTTTCCACATGAAAGCCGCCTCTGGAAAAGCAATACTTGCTGCGGTTTGCACAAAGAGCCTTCTAATGCTCCTGTACAGCGTGATTACACTTCCCCTCCGTGTGTGTGTGTGTGTGTGCGTGTGAGACGAAAGCGGGGTGCGGTGGGTGTAAGAGCCCTTTCCTGTTGCTGGGAGTGGGACAAAATCTGTTTCCTCTGCCAAAGCCCTCCGCATTGTCCGAGGCTTCTGTGTCCTTTCATGAAGCAACACACACAAAGGCCGACACACACGTACAGATACACACATACAAAGGTTTGCTCTGAAAATAGAAAAAGTGGGAGCACGCAAGGGCAGTAGCACAGGTCACACACACACGTCTGCGCTGGCTCATACACACCGCAACCTTTGCTCGTATCTGTGACCTGTCGAATTGTCTCGGGCTGAAGTAGCTTTGATAGTGCTGACACATTCACTGACAAAAGCCTTGGCTCTGATATAATGAGTGTGTGTCCACATGCATGCAGATTTGAGTGTCTTTTTTAGGGAGTGTGTGTGCGTGTGTGTGTATAAACAGCATGTGGAGGAGCCGCCAGTGTTATCGGTCGTCCATTCTGAACATTCCGTGACAGCAGCGGTTAGGGAGTATCTCACTATGTGGGACTGATAGATTTAAAAGGAATTGCTGAGATTAATTGAGTTATTGTGGCAGACCTGACCGGGAGTATTTCTGGTAAGAGTAAGGGAGAGGCTTGTAGGGGTTCAGGTTACACTGGGAAAGAATTTTATTCATAAATATACTTTAATCTTATCAGTGTGAGGGGTCCAGTACATTTCAAACAAAGTTAAATTGGACTGTTCTCAGAAAGTGTCGATTACAGTGCGAGGTGCATGAACACCAGTTCACTCATTTCACATTCAGGTCTGTCTGTCCGTGAAAGATAGAGCTGTTGAGATTGACTATTAAATTAATCGCCACGTAATTTGATAATCAGTTCAGACCAAAGATTCGCAACCAGACAAAACCCTTTGAGAACGCTGCAGAGAAAAGTTGAAGCAGTGTGAACTGGCCGTCTGAGCTCGACTCAAGCCAGCTGATGATGTCACCTGCAACTCAGCAAGTCAAATCACCACCAGCTGGTCTTAGATTGTAAAGCATGTCACCTGTTTCTACAGCCAATCGGCTTGTAATGAAGTCTGCTGGTCAAGTCAAAATGATCGCAGATGGTGTATTGTCTTGCTGCAGCAGGTGCTCCATCCCCACCAAGCCCTCTGTTTCCGTCCTCACAGTGGGCTGGTGTCGGATGGTGGGTCGCTGCTGCTGCTCGCTGTATGTGCTTATGCCCCTTCACACACACACACATTCTCACTGACTGATTAATTGCTGCTTACTTACATTATTGTGGCATATTTATTATGAATACAGTCCATATGATGCCCATTTTGTTCATCAATTTGCACAACAAACACATCACCAACAACTCAATTAGCTGAAGACAGTATCAGTATTAAAACTGCCTTTTGTGTTCAGATCAGTGTTCAGTTTGTTAAGTCAAAGAATGTTGGAAATATTTTTCATTTCTTAAAATTCATCAAGCAGTTTGTTTTATTCTTTAAGTGCACTGAAAGCAGCAGAAAGACAGACCTGAGAACACTTTAATATCTGTTTATTTATCTCAAGTAATATAGATATCGGGATACTCAACAATGGGAAATGGACTGCACTTGTATAATGCCTTTCTAGTCTTCTGATCACTCAAAGTGCTTTTACACTACGTCACATTCACCCATTCACACACATATTCACACACTGGTGGCTGAGGCTACCATACAAGGTGCCACCTGCTACTCACTAACCATTCACACACACTCACACACACACTGATGGAGCAGCTATCAGGAGAAATTCGGGGTTCATTATCTTGCCGCCGATCTTCTGATTAGTGGACAACCTGCTCTACCTTCTGAGCCACAGCCACCCTAACAATCTTATCACATACTGCATTCTTTCCTCATATCGTGCCACCCTAGTTCGTACAATGTGTAGACAGGACCACGTTGTAAATCAAACACTTTTATAGTCACACTCGAAGGCGCCGGGTTGAAAAGCATGCCTTCATAAATGGGGGAGATATAACATTGTTTAAATATGGTAAAAACTGCATTTTTGGACAGATTGCTACTTTCCTGCTGCCTTTTATTGTCCATTACTGATTCACTGTGTGTTTAAGTACAACCATGATGAATAAATCTAATTACCAGATGCATTATTGTAATTTCTTTGGGGTGTTGTGTGGAATTCTGTCCTGGATCTTCCTGTCTGAGGTGGAAATAACAGGGAAACTGGAAACATGTATTCCAAGCTCACTGCTAAAGATGTAGTATTAACAAAATGAAGCTTGTCCAAATCATCGCAGTATACTTCCCTGTGCAAAAGATTTGGACAAGCTCTGATCGTGTCCTGTGCACACTGTGGCGATCAAAGCTCTATATGGTGCTATGTTTTGGTCTCACATCCAAAATATTGCCTGTGAGAACATACCAGTATTTGATCCAGTTTGTTGTAAACTGCCTGCTTAAATTACAAAGTGAGGCTGAACTAAAAAATAACAATCCAAGTGTACTGTAACTAGCGCCATCAAAACCTTCTACATATGGCAAACTCCACCTGTTTGCAGACGATGTTCTACATTATTTGTGTGTGTACCTTGAGATGCTGGAGTTGCCGTCGGTCATCATCCAGCTGCCTCCTCTTGTTTTCAATCTCTGTCTGCTTCTTCCTTTTCTCCTGTTACAACAAACACACCATAATTACTCTGCAAGTGCACTAAGAACATTATGAAACAGATGTTTTAAAGAACACCACACTGTGTTCTTAACGGGGCAGGGCACCAGATTTATGATGCATTAGTACTGAAACTCAGGTAACTTATCGACAGATACTAAAACATTTTGGATGGTACCCAGCTCTTGTCTTTAATGGTAGTGCTGCTGATTTAAAGGTAAGTTTTGATGACTAAGTACATTAAGTGTAAGTCCATGTAATTGCTTAATGTGTCTGAAAAACAATTAGAGAGAAAGAGATGGAAGTTGGTATACAGTTAACTTCATGTACTTAATATTTATGGGCACATACTCACTTAATACACTTAGTCACTTACAGGACAATGTTTGAACTGTTGATGTTTGACATTGAAGTTGGGGTTGCGACCATATTACATCATACTATTCTACATTAGGATAATGGAGGACATTTGTGTTGACAGATATTTCAAACGTTTCAGTATGTTCGTATTAAACCATTATACATCCTTCAAAAGAGAGCAATCAGGACAGTACACAATGTGGGGTACAGGGAACATGCAAACACACTGTTTTTAAAGCCACATGCATTGAAACTTTTAGATCTGGTCAAAATTAAAACTGCATAAATCATGGGCAACATTCAAAAAATGTTTTGTGAACGGGAGAGGGGTTATAATTTAAGAAGAGAATTTAACTGTAAAAAACAATGTGTGCGTACAACTAAGAAGAGTCTGTGTATTTCATGGTTTGGGGTGAACTTGTGGACTGGAAGTCAATGGAAGACCAATGAAACTATACAAAAAAAGATATTTTTGACAGATATATAGATGAGGAAAAGTTGTGTTAGGGGAGTGCATATTTATTTTGTAACACTGGGTGGTACTTGGACTGTAAATAAACTGGGTTTAATACTAATGTATCTAATTGGCTGGTGAATAGACTGGGGATAGTTTTATATTAGTTGCAATTAAATTTGGGAATTAGTTGAAATAATATATGTTCCTACTCTTTTCTTACATTTTGTCTTTTAACTCATATAAGTTTTACTTCTATCTACTCTTTTTTTGGACACTTATCTTCGTCTCTTTTGTCTTTTACTATGTATTTTCTTATTTTTGTTCAAAATAAAGTAATTCATTCATCACTTATTTTCATTTTTTATTTAATTATTTCCTCCATTCATTTATATACATTTAATTTAATTTAAGATAATTCAATTTCATTTTATTTTATTTTTTCCCCTCCCATTTCACCATTTATTTATTCTTTAATTCACACTTTTGGGGTGGGGGGTGGGGTGGATTATATGTGTGTTACACATTTGGTGGTTGTACCGAAATTTTGTTCTTTTTCTTTTGTGTGTCTGTTGATGTATATGTACACATACTGGATGTGTGCATGTGTATGTCTTGTTTATTGTTGTTAAATCAAGAAAGACCAGAACCATTCTGCCATAAAAGTTTAGTGAAAATTTATATCCCAGTATACATAATTATACAGGGATGAAACCTCGCTATTGTGTGTCTGAAAAGACAAAGAAAGAAGATAAAACAGACCGAAAGGATGAAAGACCAACAGAGACACGGGGAAGAGAGGCACTGAGAGACAGACAGAAAATGTAGCCGCTGCATTAGCTTTCAATGCCCTCTAATGGGTGAAGGAGATGGGATCTAAAAGGTTGAGTCATTAAGAGTGGGCAGTCAGATCCTGACAAGCAGCAATGATTTGTTGTTTCTCCAGCCATCAGTGTGCCCTGATGTACACTCTGTATGTGTGTGTACAAATACTTACAGCGATGGCCTGGAGTCTCTCCTCTTGTGACACCTCAGCCATCCTGAGAGAAAGAAAGAGACAGAGAGAGTTGTTATGATCACACATGACCACCAACATCAGACATGACACACACTGATAAACAACTTTCCTTGCGTTCGCTCACCAGCCATTTACCTTCCAAAGACTTCCCGGTGACTGAGGTTAAATATCTGTCTGCCTGCACTAAATCAGTGTCCCTTTCCTGTCAGGGAGAGTCAGCGAAGGCATGCTAATGCGCTAGCAGGGCGCTGCTGGAGATTCCTGCTCTAATAGGTTCCAGACCAGAGCTCCGGGATGGAGGATGGACAGAAGCAGAGCTGAGGCAAGAGTAGAGGGACTGAGACTGTTGCTCAACTGGGACGGGACACAAATATCACAGTATTGAGATCCCTCAAAAATCATGTATCTTATATCAAATTTTATATATTTTTTTCTCTGTAGTTCATGTCTGAGATTCTCTCTTCCAAGTAGAAAATTGTTCATGACCTCTGACATTAGTTGTAATAAGAGATGCATTCATAATAGGGACTGGCATACCATCTTAAATGGCATTCCTATATAAGAGGACCCAATTTTCACTTTGCAAGAATGTGTTTACAGAGGTGTTAGTTTCATTTCAACCTTGAAGAGCGGCATTTACTGAGGAATGCTCAAAGCCATGGTTGCCCTTAACAAGAGCTGTATGTCATTAATGGTTGGGTTAGGGTATACTATGAGTGTAATTCACTTAGAGCTGTGATGATGAGTCAATTAATTGGTATGTCGATTAAAAGAAAATAAATTGCCAACTATATTGATAATTGATTAATCGTTTCAGTCATGTTTCAAGCAAATATATCAAGAATTTGTTGGTTTTAGCTTCTTAAATGTGAGAACTTGCTGCTTTTGTTTGTCAGTGATGATAGTTAATGATGTATGATGTAGTAAATGTATAATGGCTGTTGTGTTCTGGACTGTTGGTTGGACAAAAGTAGCAATTTGAAGACGTCACTTTTAGCTCTAAGAAATTGTGACAAGGATTTTTCACAATTTTTTGACATTTATTGGTTAAAACAATTAAACGATTAAACATGAAAATAATCTGCAGATTAATTAATAATGAAAATAGTCGTTAGTTGCAGCCCTAAATACACACAGTCACCTTTTCTTACTGTACATGAGATTCATTGCACGGCAAAACATGGAAGTGTTTTACTGTTTAAAACCAAATTTGATAAAATTCTTGTGTTAAAATTAAAATTAAGATTAGATCTGAAACAGTCACTTGATTAATTAATAAATTGATCAACAGTAAATTAGCATTGGCTTTTTTGTTTATTGACAAATGTCATATTTCCACTTGCAACGTTGTTCTAGTTTTGGAATGTTGGTCAGAATAAAGAAGACATTTGAAGACATCAATTCCATCATCAAAGTATGATGAACATTTTTCACAGTTTTCTGACATTTTTTATCCCTCTCAAATTTTATTTGAACAATATCAGCTTTTTCTCCCCCTGTCAGTGCAGGTTTTCTCCGGGTACTCCAGCTTCCTCCCACAGTCCAAAGACATGCAGGTTAACTGGTGAGTCTAAATTGGTTGTAGGTGTGAATGTGAGTGTGAATGGTTGTCTGTCTCTATGTGTCAGCCCTGTGATAGTCTGGTGACCTGTCCAGGGTGTACCCCGCCTCTCACCTAATGTCAGCTGGGTTAGGCTCCAGCACCCCTGCGGCCCCCAACAGGGTAAGTGGTTATGGAAAATGAATGAATGAATCCACTTTTCATAGAGATAAATTCCAGATTTTGTTCTGATAATAAAGTGAAATCAAAACCAAATCAAGTGATAAATCCATTACTTGAGAAGTGCAAAATAACTGCTGATGACTACGGTTGCAGTCCTAGTTACAATATCACAAATTCATATTTAAGACAACTGAATAATGTACGGTCTAATGTCTCAGTCTGAATTTATGAACGAGGACATTCATTACCTTTGACACCACATTATACTGTCAGGCATGGTTGAGATTGTCTTGGCCACTTGATAAAGTTAATTGAGGGGGACAAATCATTCATATAAAATGATAAGGGATGACACGTGTCACCTCTGCAGGGATAGAATTATTTTGCTATAATATAATAGAAGGGCATCAACTAATGGTTGTTTTCATTATCAAGTAATCTGCAGATTATTTTCTTGATTTATGGATTAATAGTTTGGTCTAAATAAGGTAAAAAATAGTGAAAAAAGTCTAGGGTGATGTCTTTGTCTTTTCTGTCAGTCCTAATGCCAAAAAGACTCATTTAAATATGATTTTAATCAGGGAAATGTAGGAAATCACCATATTTGAGAGGCTGAAAACGTTTTGGGTTTTTTACACTTTTTGAATTAAAGAAATTACTTGGATGATTAATTGATTATCAAAAAAGTGAAGCAATTATTTTTCTGTAGATTGACTCATCGATTAATCGACTAATCTTTGCAGCTCTACTTCAGCAAGAACCTCTGGAAACTGAAATGTAGCCCCCCAAAAACTGCTTTCAACAGATTGGAGGTGGAGGAGCAGCAGTGTGCCTTTTCCAGCCTGAACTGTAACTGCATCACAACACATATGGGATTCTGATTTTTCCGCTCCGGTCCAAACCAAACTCTTACAAAAGAGCGATGACACAACAACTCTACATAACTCCCCGCCCACCCCTCTCCATTGCCAGTAAAATGTGTTAAAACTGTTTGATCGTGTCACTCCTCCTGATGAGTGGCCAGGACACCCACTGATACTGTGAATCTGCTTGCATCATTTCTCAGCTGAATATTGACAAAGGTTGGATTGTGAGCACATCAATAGAGCAAATCCCTCCTATGCTGCCTTTGCTGCAGGGCTGGCCTGGTTGCTACACTATTTATTTCCCACACAAAGGTATGCAAATGCAACAGCATTTGCATACCTTTGCTCCTCTCAAAACATAAAGAAGCATACATTTCCTGTCATGCTCCGGAGTCTGCTGTCCAATCACAGCAGCCGTAGGCCTCACATAAAACCTCAGGGGTGTGTTTTTGGAAGGACACTCTGTAACATGCAGGACTCAGGCACCCACTTCTGGCACAGCAACAATCAAATAGCACACTGCTCTCCACCACATCACCATCACATGGAGACCCTTTGGAGAAGAAGTGAAACCACAATCATCTGATCAACCCCACATATAAACACACGCACAAACATTGCACTGTCTAGACGCATTCTTTTAAAATGTTGCTTTTCCCACTGAGCCAGCACAAACAGGAAAACATCTGGAGATGTACTGAGCAGAATCAGGCTCAATAAGGGAAGTCAGTCATTAGTCAATAATGAAATACAGCTCTGAATTCAGTAGTACATAATGTCAAGAACTTTATTCAGGTGTTGTTTATTTTATAACATGTTTTCGCCCTTAATCTCCGTCCCTTCCTGGCCTTCAGGTCACAGCAGAAGCAGGGCAGCGAGCTGACTGAGCATCGTGGGGACTCATCTGGATCAGTTCACCAGTGGTATAAAGGAGGCCTGGAAGCAACAGCTGTCCATCCTGACCTGAGAAAGGTCACTGTGAGCATCAGCTTAGAGCCAGAACACACCCACAGCGTGGCTACGACAGGCAGAAGCTGCTCGGTGACTGGAGGTGCAGGCAAAACAAGTGACAGGTTTTTCTATTAATGTTAAACACCCCTGTTAGATACATCAGTGGTGAAAAATGCAGGACACTTTTATCCCCTGGATAAACCATCTTGTGAACCATCTGTAAATCCCAATTCACTACTCAAAAGTTTATTGGCAACAGCCTGCACACAAAACGACTCAGTATAGTAACCATGCAGCTGCAAAGTGGCGCTGCCCGTGTTCTGGAGAGGCGACCACGTGGGCAAGATATGTAAGCAAACTACAATGTGACACAAGAGATGGAGACAACTGAAGTCTGGTCTGAGTCTGTGGTGGATTTATAATGTAACACGACAGAAGCAACTGTACATAAAACTACAGTTAAATGATTCCACAACCGGAAACCATGGATTACTAGAAGCATCCACGAGGCCACAAACTCACACTGCAGCCATTGTAAAAACATGGACAGCTATAAAGCAGCAGCCTACGCTGTATGAAGAGGCAAAAAAGGACAAGTTGAAGGAGCTGACAGGATTGTGTGATTCTTGACCTATGGCTAAGCCCCGCCCTCAGACGCAATGAACCAATCACAGTGCGTATAGCCATTCCCATACACTCTGACGTTCTCTGTCTGGACGTCCATTGAAATGCATTACAGAAAGTCAGTTTTGTTCAGTTTTATGAGCTTTTTCTGAGATTTGAAGTTTAAAAATGATCAAACGGTGTGCATGGGGTACATGCAACTCCAACACAAGGTATCCTGAGAGGCTGGGCGACGAGGTGTATTTTTTACACTTTAAACCACATCTCAACTGAGAAAAGTGTCTCCTTTGGATAAAGTTGTGCGGTAACGTTAGACCACAACATCACCTCAATGTGAATAAGATTAACAATGATGTCTACATCTGTTTTAAAGTAAGTCAACATCGTGTTTGAGGCAACATGTTGTCACTTTGCTGGAAAGAAATATAGCTTAAGTTATCTTTAACATCTCTAGCTAACGTTAGCTAAAGTTAGCCTAACATTAGCTCCTAGCTGCGTTGTTCATCATATCACCTTGTTTGCTGGGAGCTCATTAGCCTATTTTGTTCTAGTTTTGTACTTTGGTGATCGTACATCATTGTTAGCTGTTGTCCAAAGGGCTCTAGTTAAGCTAACGTTAACTTCTGGAGCTTAGCTTCATTAACTTGTAAATCTGTAATGGCAGAGATAACAAAGGTTGGCAAACGTTATGCTGAATGATTCAGTGTAAATACTGTAGCACCAAACTAACGGAGAGACACTCTTGGTAAAGATGGTAAAAAGGCCGTTATCCTTTTCTCATATTCTGAGCCAAAAACCTTAAATTCAGTGGAACAATGCTGATCCTCTGTCTTGTTGTCTTTGATGGTGACGGCAATG